AGTGGATTCTCTTAGACGATATGAGATCTGTTCTAGGGTGCTGTTCCTCAGTTGCTAGGTCCTGATGCTCTGTAGCGTCAGCCACCTCGGTGCATCCTGGGAAGTGGGCTTCCATTAGTGCTGTTAGGGATTCTTCGCTGCCCTCGGTCCACTGTCCATCATTTCGTTTCAGCTGACTCTGTATGGCGGGTTGCTTTGATAGCAACTTCCGGAGTCTGACCGTTTCTGGGACTTTCTCGATATTGGAGCAGAAGTTCCTCCACGAGTTTCTTTGTGCCCTGCGTATTTCCTTCTTGTACTCCCTGAGTAGGATTTTGTATTCCTCATTGATTATCTCCTCGTTCGCCTGTTTGGCGATTTTGAAGAATTCTTTGAGGTTGTTTCTTTGAAGCGATAAGTCCCGGTTCCACCAGAGTGGTTTGGTCCTCTTTTTCGTTCTCGAGGGTGGGCATGATGCGTGGTACGCATCCAGTAGTTCCTTGGACAGGGTCTCTAGGGACGTTTCTATGTCTTCCGGGGATTTCACTGTGCCCGGGCGAGTCGCAAGCTTCGAAGTAACTGTTTTTTTAAACTTTTCCCAGTTTGTGTTCCGGGGGTTTCTATAGACAGTTATCTTCGGAGAGTGTTTAAATTCGCACTTAAACTGAATGTACTTGTGGTCTGAGAAGGATGGTCTTTCAAGGACTCTCCAGCCAGAGTGTACCAAAGTACAGTTCCCCATTACGAGTGTTAGATCTAGTACGTTGGACGAGGTGGGGCCTACGAAGGTGTGCTCCTCCCCCACGTTTGCTACATCTAGGTTAGTGGATAGTATAAAGTCTAGAAGTGACTCACCTCTTTCGTTGATATCGGGGCTTCCCCACACGCTATGGTGGGCATTGGCGTCCGTACCAACTATGAGTTGCTGGTCTTTCGGACTGGCTTCCGCCACCAGACTCCTTAGCTCTTCCGGTGGAGCTGGCCTGTCGTGTGCCATGTAGCAGGATGCTACCATAAGGCGCTTGTCCTCGCTTTCAAGCATCACCGCAGCCAGGTCTTCAGTGCTGTAATGAGACATAAGATAAGCATGGATGCCCTTTCGTACAAGTACGGCGGTTCTAGTCCTGCTTACCGATGGTGGGTAGAAGAGAATGTAATTTGAGGACTTTAGTCCGGCCACAGCATTGCCGGAGGCAAGCCATGGCTCCTGGACCAAAGCAATGTCGACGGGCCCTTGCTCCAAGGCAATGAGGAGCTCCGCCGACGCGAACTTGCTTTTATGCAAGTTGAGCTGCAGCACTCTCAATGTGGGAGGCTGGCTCAACTGCACTCGACGGGTTGACTATTATAGTCAGGTCACCGTCCTCATTCTCTGCGGCATCAGAGTCGTCCAGCGCAAGATCCTGGGCGGCCTCTACGATGGACTCCAGACCTAAGTCCTTTTACACCTCGCCTACCTGCAGGGTATGCGCGTCCTTGTCCTCGGGGTGGCGCTTGTTGAGACGTAGGTAGACACTGCCTACGCCCCATGCCATCTTCCCGAATCTCGGGTAGAGGATGTCCTCTGCCTCCTTGTTGATCTGGATGATCATGTGCTGGCCCCCCTCATTGGGTAACGGGCTACCAGCATGCAGGATTTTCCAGTCCGCCGTGGGCACCTCTGTATTCTGCTTCTGGAGAAGTTTCAGTGCTCGGTCTCCCTGGACTGCAATGGGGAAGAGCACCTTCGCCTTTGGGATGGAAGGGATCATCTCCCTGTCCACTACCTCCAGCTTGGCCCCCTCCCACAGAGCTTCCAATTTGGGCACCACTTGCAACAGCCACTTCCTCGTCGGGTCATCATTACATTTGAGGATCTTCACCCCGTTCAGCCATCCCGCACCGTCAAAGGTGGGCATGGCAGCGTCCGGCGCTTCCTCCATTCGCGCGAAAAGGCAGTCTACCAGCTGGGCGTGGACCTGTTTCCACTGCGCCGCCGTCATCTTCCCATTTTCGTCGCTGCGGTCGATCAGGGCCACGATGAGGGTGCCTCTTGGACACGTCGCTCACCTTGGCCTTCTGCTTGGGCTTCTTCGTCTTAGAAGGTTGAGGGATAACCACCTTGGGCCCGCGTTGCCGCTTGCCCGCCGGAGTGTCCTTGGCACTTTCGGTCGAGCGTTGCCTTTTGGTGGCCATCATTTCCTCAACCTTATTGGCGAATTCACCCTTCATCGCCTTCATCTGAGGCAGCTGCGCGTAGTGGAGACGCCCCTCTTCTACCTTTTGCTCAGCCCATGCTAGTTTGGACTTCTCCTCTTGGGAGATGTCCTCTTTGCCTTGTAGCCGGCTTTGGATTTTGAGGGCCGCCTTGTATTGGGCCTTAGCCTTCATCCCCTCTCTAGAACGCTTCGGCCCTTCCCTACGAAGGGAGCTGGTACCTGGTTCAGGCGAGCGGAGAAGGCTCTCTTCCTCCGTTCTGCTTACGCTGAGCACGCTCTCCAGGTCCGAGTCTGTTTCGACCACGGCACCCGTGCGGCTCAGCTTGCAGAGAGGCGTTTTGGTGGCAGTAGCTTTAAAACTAATATGACCTGCTCCCGCCATATCAGAGTTGTGACCGCTGGCGACACGCAGAGAGGATTGCTCCTCCCCGAGCCCGCCGGTGGTAGCAGTCACGCTTTCCACCGACGTTTGGACTGACATCCCAGTCCCTGCTTGACCCTTACTCCGGTCCATGTGGTTAATATTTATCGGGGGGACCACCCCCTAGCGTTTTATGCCTGTCCGCCAGGCACCTCCAGCCATGGCCATGGTTCAGTTCCCCCAATTTATATCGGGAAGACCTGGACCCGGCCTTAGCTAGACACTGCATTACCGCGGACAGAGCAAACGGCAATGCATTAACCCGATCCGGGGTAATGCAGTGCCCATTGCCCGGCCGGCACCCTCTGGGAGGGTTCAGCTGGAGGATTTTTGCCTGGCCAAAAAGATGTCGAAATAAAAACACTTAATAATTGTTGAGTGGGTTTTTAATATGTTAGCACTTGGATGTATGTATGTATGTGTATGTATTTATGGATGTATATATATATTGGTATGTTTTTTTGGAGATGCGGAGCCGCTCTTGTGAATTGGAATGCACATATGTTTTAGTGAACTGGGGTGCAGTTGGATTTTGTCGAATATATTTAATTTTTCACAAATCATGCCCAGACAAAACGAAATGGAAGAACTACCGTAGCACTGGTAGTTGGAGGCGACGGAACGGAGAACGGCCGGAATCGCCGATAATATGGCGTTGGCGAAAGAGAAGGAAGCACAGAGAAGGATAGCACTGTATGCACAGATATGTATATAAGAATATATACACATATATCGCGGAACTCGGACGTGGTGGGGAATAAATCAAAAAACGCACTAGGAAGCGATTTGGGAAGACGAAATCGTACTTATCTTCGGAACGTAGCGATGTAATCCACCGATGCTTGCAGGTTGGACTCCTCCTTATAGGGAAGGCGAAGATCCGGCTCGAAGGACCAATGTTTTGTAGGAGGGTGGATGTTGGTCGTTCCCACAGTTCGGATTCCCAAATAAATAAAAAGGCGGGGGCGTCAACTATAATTCTGGTGTATTTGGCGTGCACAAAGCTGAGGGCTGGTTGTAGATAGGCGCGTAGGTGTCGAGAGACTGTTCTCTCCCGCTCGGCCTACGGCTAGCGCCCGTGATGGAGCGCCGAGTGGATCGAGTCCACGCCGCGCGAGAGCGAAGGGCATGGGAGAGCGCGCGAGCTAACAGAGCGCTGTTAACCGCGCTGCTGCCCTAAACAAACCGGAAGATAAAGCGAAGCAAAGTTGAAGTTTTCTAGCATGTTTACAGTTTCTGCAAACAGAAATAAACTTTTTAGTGGCATATATTCTTAACAAAGAATGACAACAGTACGATTTTTTTTACTTGATATTTTTTTTTTTTAGGTTTATTAGTACAATTACTTAACGTACTGTTACTGTGGATAAGAAAATTGTTTCAAGGATCAAGGACAATTTCTGTTTACTATTTTATGGTAAATGCGGGACCAAGGGACGAAAACGGAGATTGTGCATCAAGAATTTATATGTTCCTGATGGCCAAGTCGGACGGATGGATGCGGTTTAACCTTCGCCTGGTTCTGCTTCTTACCAATCTTCTAGCGAGGACGATCGGGTGGCTCCTTAGTTTGGTCAAGTATCTTGTGGCTTGCTCGTTAATAATGTCACCGACTGAGGGGACTCCAAGGTCTTTGGCGATATTTCTATTACGGACATACAATTCAGCACCACAGATTTTTCGGAAGGTCTTGTTCTGAAACAACCTGATCCTGTCAAGGTTCGTTTTCGCTGTGATAGGGAAAAGTGTTGGTCAAACAATTCTAGCTTAGCCGTTTCTCCTTAAATTTGTATAAACATTACTTTAAATGGCTCCTAATTAATGCAACTATACACAAAAAATATAAGGACACAAGATATAGTTTTGTTTCGACTTTTCCTAAGATTTTAAAGTCACAATTTTTACAAATTCAGCCGCAAAAATGCTAATTTTTGCATTTAAAAGCTTAATATTTCCCAAATGGTAAGCTAAAATCACAAAGCTTGGGTCATATTTATAGCTTCATTTATAAGATGTTCAGAATGACAAAGATCATTACAACTATATGTAAGAGGTAAGATACTTAACTTATGTGAAAAAAATAAGAGCTACATATAAAACTAATTTCGGTTCAAGCGGCCAAAAATTGTAGAACCCACACACAAGCACAGTATACGTGGCACACACGTGGTGCCTCAGCACCACAGCCAAATGGTCCCAGCATCCCAGCCGAAGGCCCTGGGGTGCTCGGATAGAAAACTCAGCTGCGACACATTCAGTGTATGAACTGGCACATATACTTCTAGTGTCTAAAGTCAAAGATACCGAAGGCATTGAAGTTAGCTTTCCTATTGTCTTAATTTAAATTGTTGCTGAGTTTATTGGCATTAATTTCATAATTTTTCTTATTATTTTACTTCCAGGGCGAATCTAATGAAGCCAGAATAGCTGTAGCTAACCAAAGAGCCCATCAGCTACTAAAATAAGGAGATTATAGGACGACGTGTACATACATTCATAGTCTCTTCAATACATGTTCATATTTATTTTCGGTTACCTAACACTACTCGACAAAATCGAACTTTTTTTTTCCTCAAGGATCCAAGCCGACTTTTTCTGATAGATATGGGGATTTAAAATTTTTTAAAGAATTATGGTTTTTTCTATGGCAGAACTTTTTTTTGAAGAATTTTTGAAGTCTGGTATTTTTTTTAAGCTTTTTTTAGAGGTAGCGCTTGTTGTTTTCACATAGCTCTAGTAACTTACGTCTGGTTGTAAAGAACTTTGCTATTTTGAAAAAATAATTAAAACAGCTAGAAGTTAAGCCCAAATACTTTGTGATTTCAGCTTACCGTCTGGGAAATATAAAGCATTGAAATGCAAAAATGATGATTTTTGTGCGGTATATTTTACGCGATCAGGTACCAAATGTACAACCCTTGTTCGTTTGCTTTGTTCCCAATGGGCAGTTGGGCTCGCAACCTTCCAAAAGGTATTTTTTGTTCATTTTTTTCATATTTTAGGTTTGGTTAACGAATTTTACCTCAAAAGTCTCTCCATAGATTTTAATGAGCGATACCTTAAACGACGCCAAAACGACGCACCTATACACAAAAAAATAGAGGACACAAGATATAATTTTTTTTTCGACTTTTCCTGGGTTTTTAAAGTCAAAATTTCGTAAAAAAATACCGCACAAAAATCATCATTTTTGCATTTCAATGCTTTATATTTCCCAGACGGTAAGCTAAAATCACAAAGTATTTGGGCTTAACTTCTAGCTATTTTAATTATCTTTTCAAAATAGCAAAGTTCTTTACAACCAGACGTAAGTTACTAGAGCTATGTGAAAACAACAAGCGCTACCTCTAAAAAAAGCTTAAAAAAAAAATACCAGTTTTCAAAAATTCTTCAAAAAAAAGTCCTGCCATAGAAAAAAAAAAAATATCATCAAACCATTTCTAAGCCCCAAATCTTTAAGAAAAAGTTCGTTTTGTTCCTTGAGGAAAAATCGTGTTGACTAGTGTAATCAGTGCTCCAATAGTGGTAATCTAATTGTCACAAACATAATATTGTCTTAATACAAATATATTACAAAAAAAAACTTAAAATTAATTATTTAATAAACTCATGGGCTATTATTTGAATACATAAAAAAGAATATCTGTAAATATTATATCTCCTCGCCTTAAAACACATCTGAAAAAGCTTGACGAATTTTAAAGTTTTAATTTGATTTGAAAATAATATTTTGATATTTCAAAATACATGTCGATTATCCATTTTAAGATAACATAAAGTATTGTTTTAGACGAATTTGAATAAAAAATACCAAACTGGCTAGCATATTATTCATATTTTTTTAAAATTCTACTTTATATGTACTATGTACTTTATATGTACGTTACAATATTTCTAGAATCATACAAGTTATGTTCGATCAAATATTATTACTATTTTTACAGTTTTTTTTCTTACATACTCGTAATGTTCATACCTTACAAATTCAGGACAATGTGAAATCTATACATATATTATCAATAAAAGAAAAAAATGTATTAATAGAGATTTTAGTAACATTTTTTGCTCACTTTAAAATGTTATTAAGATCTTTTATATAAATGTTCAACTTTTATTTTATTTGAAATTGTATCTGAAATAAATTATTGTTCTAAGATGCGAAATTCAATTAATAAATGATTTTATCCTGAATATTTACTTATGATTAAAGAACTAAAGGTGGGAGGTGCCAGAAAGTGATCACCTGTTGGTTATTTGTGAATATATCCATATGCAAAATACGTTTTTATACCCTCTATTGAATTAAGCATATTTTATTATATCGTCGCAATAAAAGGCTTCGAGCTCGCTCCGCTCATGCCCGAATCACCGGCTCAATTGTTACACTCGTTCGATATGACTCAAATGTCAATGCTGCAGTACTAACTACTTCTAATAAAATTACACCTTATATATGAACTAGCTAATAGTTACTAATACTTATTGGTTGCGAATGAGTGGACTGTATTAATCTTTATGTATTTTTATTTGATTCATATGTAATATTAGTGGTTTTTTAGCAGCAAATTGAGCTCATTAACTCCACCAACAAAGTCGAGCCCAAAAGGGAATTAGAAGATCACGCGAATGTATTTGTCTTCGCCTGCATTTACATTCAGTCAATGGTTCTGCCATTTGAGCGGTGGAAAGCGGAGGACAGAAAATGAAAGAGAAATTAGATAGAAAAAGAGAGATATTAAATACAAAAAAGTAAAAATAAAATTGAAATTAAAAAAACCAGCGACCTTCTGCTGATTTCTGTTCGCCTGCATCTCAGATTCGAGTTATGGTTTCTGCCATTAGAGCGGTGGAAAGTGGTGACAGAAAATGAGAGAACTTAGATCGAAAAAAGAGAGCAACGAAATACAAAGAGAAACAAGAAAAAACGAGAAATTAAAAAAAACCAGCGACCTTCTGCTGATTTCTGTTCGCCTGGTATCTCAAATTTGAATTTAGCGGTTTTCTGCCATTTGAGCGGTGGAAAGTGGAGGCAGAAAATGAGAGAAATTAGATCGAAAAAGAGAGCAACCAAATACAAAGAGAAACAAGGAAAAAAACGAGAAATAAAAAAAAAAACCAGCGACCTTCTGCTGATTTCTGTTCGCCTGGTATCTCAAATTTGAATTTAACGGTTTTCTGCCATTTGAGCGGGTGGAAAGTGGAGGCAGAAAATGAGAGAAATTAGATCGAAAAGAGAGGCAACGAAAGACAAAGAGAAACAAGAAAAAACGAGAAATTAAAAAAAAAACCAGCGACCTTCTGCTGATTTCTGTTCGCCTGGTATCTCAGATTTGAATTTAACGGTTTTCTGCCATTTGAGCGGTGGAAAGTGGAGGCAGAAAATGAGAAGAATAAAAAAGAGAGAACGAAATACAAAGAAAAACAAGAAAAAAACGAGAAATAAAAAAAAAACCAGCGACCTTCTGCTGATTTCTGTTCGCCTGGTATCTCAGATTTGAATTTAACAGTTTTCTGCCATTTGAGCGGTGGAAAGTGGAGGCAAAAAATGAGAGAAATTAGATCGATATAAGAGAGCAACGATATACAAAGAGAAACAAGAAAAAAACGAGAAATTAAAAAAACCAGCGACCTTCTGCTGATTTCTGTTCGCCTGGTATCTCAGATTTGAATTTAGCGGTTTTCTGCCACTTGAGCGGTGGAAAGTGGAGACAGAAAATGAGAGAAATTAAATCAAACGAGAAGGAACGTGCGAGTCGCTTCTGGGGACGCGACTCTACTTATACCCGTACTCAGTCAATATATATATTTTTGAGCATATAATTTTTTAGAATTTTAGAATTAAAAAAAAAAATTTTACATATTACATTTTTTTGCTACATCTGTTATCTACATCTACATCTACAATGTATATTTTACATCTAACATGTAGATTATAGATGTACTTTTCATATTCTACATCTTTTCCGCTAGGGGTTGCTCGCGCACTGAACGCGACAGAGTGTGCGAGCGAGAAGGAAAATGACTTGCGTTGTCGTGGGCGGGAGGGGGAGGGGAAGCAACTGAAAATTAATTTCTTCATTCTGGCTATAATTATGATCCGATCTGATTCAAAATCGGCAGTCTGGTAGATATGGTCATTCTCTACGATACTGCGTTTTTAGTTTTATCGTATCTTTAAAAATGTGCCTGCCACAGATTTTCGTCCTTTGTGTGGGCGGAAGGGGGCGGGGCGAAACTTTGAAATACACTTGTAACAGTGGGATATCACATGAGTCTGGAAACCAAATTTGGTTGCCCTATCTTTTATAGTCTTGAGATCTAGGCGGGACAGACAGACAGACAGACGGACAGACGGACAGACATGGCTATATCTACTCGGCTATTGATGCTGATCAAGAATATATATACTTTAGGGGGTCGAAACTTTTTTTTTTTCGCTTTTCCCCCCCCCCTTTTCCCCCAAACTATATATACTTTATGGGGGGAGCCTTTCTCTGCCCTCCCACCCTTCCCTTAACTCTTTTTTGAGTACGGGTATAAAAAGAGAGCAACCAAATACAAAGAGAAACAAGGAAAAACGAGAAATTAAAAAAAAAACCAGCGACCTTCTGCTGATTTCTGTTCGCCTGGTATCTCAAATTTGAATTTAACAGTTTTCTGCCATTTGAGCGGTGGAAAGTGGAGGCAGAAAATGAGAGAAATTAGAAGAGGAAAAGAGAGCAACCAAATACAAAAAGAAACAAGAAAAAACGAGAAATTAAAAAAAAACCAGTGACCTTCTGCTGATTTCTGTTCGCCTGGTATCTCAGATTTGAATTTAACGGTTTTCTGCCATTTGAGCGGTGGAAAGTGGCGGTCGAAAATGAGAAAAATTAGATCGAAAAAAGAGAGCAGCGAAATACAAAGAGAAACAAGAAAAAACGAGAAATTAAAAAAACCGGCGACCTTCTGCTGATTTCTGTTCGCCTGGTATCTCAGATTTGAATTTACGGTTTTCTGCCATTTGAGCGGTGGAAAGTGGAGGCAGAAAATGAGAGAAATTAGATCGATAAAAGAGAGCAACGAAATACAAAGAGAAACAAGAAAAAACGAGAAATTAAAAAAACCAGCGACCTTCTGCTGATTTCTGTTCGCCTGGTATCTCAGATTTGAATTTAACGGTTTTCTGCCATTTGAGCGGTGGAAAGTGGAGGCAGAAAATGAGAGAAATTAGATAGAAAAAGAGAGCAACCAAATACAAAAAGAAACAAGAAAAAACGAGAAATTAAAAAAAAACCAGCGACCTTCTGCTGATTTCTGTTCGCCTGGTATCTCAGATTTGAATTTAACGGTTTTCTGCCATTTGAGCGGTGGAAAGTGGCGGTCGAAAATGAGAGAAATTAGATCGAAAAAAGAGAGCAACGAAATACAAAGAGAAACAAGACAAAACGAGAAATTAAAAAAACCAGCGACCTTCTCCTGATTTCTGTTCGCCTGGTATCTCAGATTTGAATTTAACGGTTTTCTGCCATTTGAGCGGTGGAAAGTGGTGGCAG